ATTTTTGAAATATTTCTGTGAAATTTTTAAAAATTATTTAATGTGGACATGTATGTATATGACCTCAGCAAACTTTTAGTTAAAACTTTTATGAAGAGAATTGAATATTTTGCAGCATTTTTCGATAACTTGCTGCTGCAGAGTGCAGATTTCCAAACTTATTTCTTTCAAAATCATACAAGCTAAAGAGTATAAATATCCTAAGCTCGAGGTACGTTGTTTTGAAAATGTGAAATTTTTTTCTAAAATCATTATAAATACATATTTTGCTCATTTTGAACGGTGTTTTTAATTCTTTATTTTTGTAACAGAATTTCAACACATGTCTTTGCATATATTACACTCAGCCACTTAATTCTCTCAGCTTGGTGTCGCCACACACACATTTCTTTAAATTTAAATAACAAAAACATTTACTTACAAGTGCAAAAACATTGTTCTTGCTTGTTCACACATTTGAACAAATATATACATATGTACATATATGTACATATATGTACATATGTGTATATGTATGAAAAGATGTACATAGATATGTAGACAAATTGAGATATTTTAACTATGATAATTCACTTATCGCATTAATTTCATATCGCTGGTCAACAGTCAGAACCATGCACATATCAAATGTAGCATCTATATGTACATATGTACATGTATATAAAATATGCACAATTAATAGGTTTTATTTTTAGTTTTGTAATTCTGAGAGGGTATTCTAGTCTAGAAATTTGAAAAAATCGAAAAAAAAAATTTAAAAACAAAAGTTTTTTCTCAAAAATATTTTTAAAAATAAAATAAAAAATTTTCAGAAAAAAAATTTTTAAAAAACTTTTTGCAATAATTTAAAATATTTTGTTATTTTGGACGTTGGCGAATATCTTGCTAAGAAAATTTTTCAAAATTCGAATTATTTCCGAAGTTAAAGTCATTTTAGTATACAGACGAACCACTTTTTTTGATGCGGTCGCCCTAATATCTCAGGTTCTAATCAGCCGCTTTACTTAAAATATTGCACGAATATGCTTTAAAAATTTCTCTACCACATGAAGCAACAACAACAACAAAAAAAAATTGTAACTCTTGCATTAACAAATAATGTTACCAAGTTTGTAGTCAAACTCTTATCAAAGCGCAACACTCGTTAAAAGATAACCACCGGGTAAGATAAGAAATTAAAGTAAAAGGAGAAGAATAAGCAATAACAAGTATAAAATTCATGATTGAAGATAAAGCTCCTTTTCAAATAATGCGCAAAACACACATTTAAGACTTTGTTCATAGTCTTAAAATTCCTATAGTATTCTTCAAAATCTATGTCGTCCCTCTCAAAGTAAACCTTTTTGGACGCAATGCACTTGTGCCAACGCTTTTTTCAATCCTCTAAATTGTGAAATTTAAAAATTTCGCCAAAAACTCACGAAGCATCAATATAGTAAGCGACGCTGCATTATGGTGGTGCAAACGCCAAGAGTTGTGCCAAAATGTTCTTTCAAAAGAGTTTTCACTAATCCTTCCGATATTTCTACGATGCCAGTAAGAACTCTGACTGTTAATCGGTGATTCTCATGTTGATCATCAATTGATGTTGATGGCCGTACTGGACGTGGTTTGTCGTCAACTCCTTCTCGACCCTGTTTCAATCATTTGTACCAATCAAAAATACTTCATCGCGACAAAAATTATCACCAAACGACTTTTCCAAACTTCTGAACGTTTGGCCCAAAAATCATATAAACTTAAAAAATAAAGATATTTCGACGTATGGGCTTTCTCGCGAAATTTCGAAAAGTCTTACTATTTTTTGCCCTCATTTTATATACACAAAAATATATTTAATTTAGCTGATATACTTGTTTTATATATATGGATATTCTCATCTATTTTTTATTATTAAAAATTTGTTATTATGATTTAAATTGTTTTCAATACTATTTTTTTTTAGAAATTGTGCGAACTTCTATTTTTATAATTTGTATTCGTAGTAATAAAGCTTATAGCGTAAGCAGAGAGTTTTTGGTGAATTGTGATGCAGTATCTTATATTTTCTTTGTCTTTTAAGATTCTATACAATAAAAATCTTAAACACAATATACAGGTATGGTACAACATTTTGCTCCAAAACTCTGGGAATTTGCTATTCATTTAAAATTTCTACTATGACCAATTAGTTGCAAATTCGAAGCTTCTACCCTTCCGCAGTAATAACTCAAAGTAGTATATCTACTTATTCTTATATTACAGATATTACTTGAAATCATGAATGCGCAGCGAAGAAATTAATGCTGCAAATTATAAAAATATTTTTAACATATATTACGTGTCGTCAGCTATAATTAAAATTAACATAACACCACTTTTCAGAAGTTTACAGGCGAAGGAAAAACCGTATAAAGAAGCCAATCATATTGATACCTTTGAGTTTTGGTTATGAAATGGTTATATGTATATAGGTTATATTTGACAGCAGTAAATCGTAAGTAATAAAAAACTGAATTTCAGATTCATTGATGATACTTTTTTTGCAGTCTAGGTGCCGATATGTGTAAACACATATATTTATAGTAAAAAGTCTCTTCGTTCCTACATATCATAGAGCACATAAAGGAATAAAAAAAGGAAACAAAAATTATTATTGTATAAGGATAAAGCAACATTTTTATTGTTTTCTATATTAAGCAAAAATAAATAGTTATTAAATAAAAAATATAGTAAATAGCACATGAAATAGGGAGTTGTTGAATTAAAATTCAAAATTTTTTGCAAGAAAATAATGGAAAATTTATTTAAATATACTCAAATGCCAAGACCCAAGCGCAAAATCAGAGAACTTTTTCACTTTCATTTTCAAAGTAAGAAATATAAATATTAATAAAATAAAAATAA